AATGTCTTTATCATCACTTTTGATCAATTTAAAGCATCCTTGCTAAATAAAAGTATTAATTTATATAATTTCTCCAAGCTTTTGAATGGTATAGTGTATAATGTTACACAAGCTTTTTATTTCAGATGAATGCTGATATTTGTATCTTCTATTCATCAAAGAATCCTGACAAAATGTACTTAAATGTTTTAAATATTGATAATAATAAAAAAAAATGTTCCTTGAGCAGCAAATCGGCATATCAGAATGATTTCTGAAGGATCATGTGACACTGAAGACTGGAGTAATGATGTTGAATTTGTTGTATTTTGGATCAAATAAATGCAGGCTTGGTGAGCAGAAGAGAATTCTTTAAAAAACATTAAAAATTACTGTTCAAAAACTTTTGACTGGTATAGTGTATATTTTGCTATCCTATCTTGTAAAGGAAAGAAATGAGCTTTGGAGACAAAGCCAGAGCATCATTGCAAAATGGAACGTGGCACAATAATAGTTGTTATATTATATATAATATAATATATATAAATAATAATTTATACTGGTTTAATAGTTGTTGGAACGAAGCCAAAATTGAAATCTAAAATAAAATTTGATTAAATCGCACAGCCCTAAATTGATATTGTAAAATCCAGTTTGTAAAAACTCCTTCTATTTGATGTTGAAATGAGACGAAGTCCCTGCTCCAGAGGCATACACTTGTTCTCTTGTTCCTGAGGCCAAATGCATCTTGCCCAGAGATATTTGCTATTACTGTTGAGCTGAACCATGTTAAAGGGGTCATATGATGTTGCTAAAAAGAACATTATTTAGTGTATCAAAGTAGTTTCGCTTTCACAACGAAACCCACAGCGTCTCCACGACATGGCGGCAGCAACAACAATACTACAGCGAGAATAAAAGTTACGCCTTCTTTCTTTGCGTGAACATTTGGGCGGCGTTATGCAAATCTTCCCACATTGTGACGTAGACATGTGGGGGCGTGTTAGAACGAGCCGTTTTAGGTAGGCGTGGCTGACTCTTAACTTTTATAAAGAATATCTCTTTGGATTTGAGACTTTAGTCTTTGCAACTTTACAGATCTTCTTTATGCACCAAGAGCTTGTAACACTCCAAAGAGAAAGGAAAAATTGAAATCGCATCATATGACCCCTTTAAACTGCTGTTTTACACAACAATTAGTTTCAGTCATTAAATATAATTGGTCAAACTGACTTTTCACTGTTTGTATCACTCCACTTGTCTTGATCCAGGCAGATTGTCAATCTGTATGCTGGTGGATTTCTCAAGTGACTTTTTCTAATCACAAGTAATTGATTTTATGAGTGAGTCACTGAATTATAATTCAACTGATTGAAAAAAAAAAAAAAAAGAAAAAAAGAGTAAAACAAAAATTTTTTTTTGAGACTGGAAAGATGCGAATGGACACAGTGACAAGAAACACATTTGTCCAACCACCACCTTTATAATTCAAAAATACTACAAAATCTAATAAGAACCTAAAGAGTATCTAAATATATCCTTCCAGAAGGAAGAAGGATCTCTACACTCCTGAGCAGTAGGGGTGCCAGAGAACAGCTAACCTGTCTCCTGTCTCCTTCCTTCGGTCTCGGCTGGCTGCTTCTCCACGCCCCCTGCATGCCCCAGAGCCCGAGGCCCCACCACGCCCCCGAGAGGGGCCCCGGTCCCGGCGCACCCCATCTGCTTTGTTTTCATCTGTAAGGAGAGCCCACTGTTCAGCAGAGGACACTAGGACAACTCTAATAAAGGAGCTGCATTAGGCTGTGTTCTTCTGTAAAATCTTTGAGCCGTTTACTGCTTCTTAACTAAACATTTGGAAGAGGCTGTTTTTAGGAAGAGAGGCTACTGGACATTTTCTCTTGCCTGACAACTGCAAAAGACAATAATCCCCTGTTGTCAATCCACTATGACATTTTAAGGGGTTTCCAGTTGTGACTTGTGTGTGGAAAAAAAAAAAGGGTATATGCACTGACTTCTTGTATACCTTCCACCATTATTGCTTTTCATGCCTCACTGGATTTGAACACCTATAAGCATACCTTTATTTCTTTGAGGAGCATCAGCTGAGCTTGCTGCACTGAAAAATAAAGTACATCAAAAATACTAAAGTCAGAATAGTTCTCTCTCGGTCTCTCTCTCTCTCTCTCTATATATATATATACACAAACTTTCAAAAGTTTGGGGTCAGAAAGTCTTTTTTGGGGTCTTTAAAAAAGAAAAATTGGTACTTTTATTCATCAAAGATGTATTAAATGAATCAAAAGTGACAGTAAAGACAATTATAATTGTTAGGAAAAACAAACAACAAAACGGCTGTTCATCAAACTTGTTCAAAGAATCCTATAAGAAACGTATCACTGTTTCAACACAAATATTAAGCAGCACAACTGTTTTCATTATTGATAATATTAAGAAATATGTCTTGAGCAAATCAGCATATTAGAATGATTTCTGAAGGATCATGTGACACTGAAGACTGGAGTAATGGTGCTGAAAATGTTTTGCATCACAGGAATAAATTACATTTTACAGTATAATTAAATAGGAAACATTTATTTTTAATTGTAATAATATTTCACAATGTTAATGCTTTTATGGCAACATTTTATTTTACGGTGTCCTTGTTACAATGTTACATGTACCTACTATAGTAATAACAATAAATGATGCATAATGCAACTAACCCTAAACCAAACCCGCATCCTAACCCTAATCATATAGTAAGTACATGTAGTTAATTAATATTACTAAATATTACTTAAAGTACTTAATTACACTGTATTAAGGACACTGTACCATAAAGTGTAACTGTTTTTTTTAACACCAAGTCAAATATATATATATATATATATATATATATATATAAAGAATAAGTTAATTTAATTCTTGGGTGCATAAAGCCAGAAATGAAAATTATATCATCATTTATTCAGCCTCGTGTCATTCCAAACCTGTATGATTTTCCTTCTTCTGTGGACCACAAAAGAAAACATTTTTGAATAATGCTGGTAGGAAAATAATCTAATGACTTTCATTGTATTTTTTTTTATATCTTCTTTTGTTAAAAAGAAAGGAACTCGGGACACTAGGACAACTCTAATAAAGGAGCTGCATTAGGCTGTGTTCTTCTGTAAAATCTTTGAGCCGTTTACTGCTTCTTAACTAAACATTTGGAAGAGGCTGTTTTTAGGAAGAGAGGCTACTGGACATTTTCTCTTGCCTGACAACTGCAAAAGACAATAATCCCCTGTTGTCAATCCACTATGACATTTTAAGGGGTTTCCAGTTGTGACTTGTGTGTGGAAAAAAAAAAAGGGTATATGCACTGACTTCTTGTATACCTTCCACCATTATTGCTTTTCATGCCTCACTGGATTTGAACACCTATAAGCATACCTTTATTTCTTTGAGGAGCATCAGCTGAGCTTGCTGCACTGAAAAATAAAGTACATCAAAAATACTAAAGTCAGAATAGTTCTCTCTCGGTCTCTCTCTCTCTCTCTCTATATATATATATACACAAACTTTCAAAAGTTTGGGGTCAGAAAGTCTTTTTTGGGGTCTTTAAAAAAGAAAAATTGGTACTTTTATTCATCAAAGATGTATTAAATGAATCAAAAGTGACAGTAAAGACAATTATAATTGTTAGGAAAAACAAACAACAAAACGGCTGTTCATCAAACTTGTTCAAAGAATCCTATAAGAAACGTATCACTGTTTCAACACAAATATTAAGCAGCACAACTGTTTTCATTATTGATAATATTAAGAAATATGTCTTGAGCAAATCAGCATATTAGAATGATTTCTGAAGGATCATGTGACACTGAAGACTGGAGTAATGGTGCTGAAAATGTTTTGCATCACAGGAATAAATTACATTTTACAGTATAATTAAATAGGAAACATTTATTTTTAATTGTAATAATATTTCACAATGTTAATGCTTTTATGGCAACATTTTATTTTACGGTGTCCTTGTTACAATGTTACATGTACCTACTATAGTAATAACAATAAATGATGCATAATGCAACTAACCCTAAACCAAACCCGCATCCTAACCCTAATCATATAGTAAGTACATGTAGTTAATTAATATTACTAAATATTACTTAAAGTACTTAATTACACTGTATTAAGGACACTGTACCATAAAGTGTAACTGTTTTTTTTAACACCAAGTCAAACACATAAAAAAAACCTTACAGACCCCAAACTTTTTACGTAGAGTATATATGTACTAATTATATGATATTTTAGATAATATAGTACATATTATACTGAAATAATTCTAACAGTTTTTGAATAATAGCTATCAATATATAACATATCAATCCAGATAGAAACCTTTTGGGTGGAGCGCTACTGCTGGGAGAGACGACAGGTTTACTATCACTCTCGCTGGATCCTGCACTCATGGCGCTCCTCTTCGCCCAAGGGTTCTCCTTAGGTGGCGGTGCCGGGACAACTTTCAGCGGCAGCCCCTCCTGCTTGGAAGTAGTAGTCTGGTTTCCATGTGAGGATGAATCCTCGTCACGGCTGCTGAAAACCTCGTTTTCTACAGAGCGCTCACTCTCCCGACGCCTCGGCGCTGTTGAGAGAGGAGAAGGATTGGAATCTGAGGGTTTCTTTTTAATAAATCATTGCATATAGCGACAGTGAGATGACAGATTATTTACGCGTCTTATGATCAGTACCTATAAAACAGTACCTAAAAATCAGACCTGTGCATAACTGGTCAGTGATCACTTACCCCTGCTCGATGTGTTTCCTGTTTGTGATGACTCACTTCCTGTTCGTGAGCGCTCGGTTGCTTGGTCCTCACTGCGCCAGCTGGGATGCCTGAGCGTTTTAGGAAATGAGAGTGAAAATACCGTTTAGAAAAAGGGAAAGCATGTGAAAGTATATCCTAAGTAATATGCCACTAAATATCATAATTAATAAAATTCAAATTGTTAATATCACATGCCAATTTTTTAGTGGGTGGTGGAATTGTGAATCATCCATTCACAAAACCATATTAATATGCAAGCAAATTATGTATTCTCAATTAATTTGAATATAATTAACATCACAATAATCAATATTTATGAGAAGAGTAAATTGAGTTACAGGTCATTATTGCAATTCATATTCATTTATAGTTAAATTTGTTAATATTTATATAAGTGTAGTTCAAGTTTAACAAAGTTAATGAATAGTTCACCTTCTAGCTATAAACAAATGTGATACATTAAAAAAAGTATTTAAAAATTGATGACAGAATTTTCATTTTTGGGTGAACTATCCCTTTAACAAAAAAATTCAACATTTAGTAAATATGTACTGTACCTCTCTCTGGGTTTGCGTTCAGGTCCTCTGCTCTTGTCCTCCTCCAGCTGCCTCTGCAGTCTCTCCTGCTCTTTCTTTAGCCTCTCCTCCACCTCTCTCTCTTTAGCTGCCGTGTCCACCGGTTTGGCTCCTCCGAAGATGGAAGCAGCTCGTCCCGATGAGGCTGAAGGGCCGCTGCTCTGGTCTTCCTCTTTGGGAACACTGCGGGGCTTCAGGTTCAGTTTAGGCCTCTGAGGTGGACCTAAACACAGACACAGTCCAGTCTGTTTAGATGATCTGATTCAAGACTTCCTTAGGTTTGGTTCCTGGTAGGGTTGTGACGGTGAGGAAATTTTCCCACCGGTTAATCGACGTGTGACAACACCGGTAATACCGGTATCACCGTTGGGGCGGGGGCGTTCCCTCTTTTCCTTGCTTTCCTTCGCTTTTAAATAGCTTGTAAAAGCGGCGTCCGCATTTTACTTTCACTTGCAAACAGCGGCAATTAGGCATAAAGCAATTGTTCGTTTTTAGTTTGTTTGAATTTTCCCTCTTTTCCTCGCTTTCAAATAGCTTAAAAGCGCCGTGCGCATTTTACTTTCACTTTCGAATTGGCGGCAATTCGGCGTATGCAACAACAAAATACAACGTCAAACTCACTTTAGCCTATATATAAAACATAGAACTTATATTAATAAAAAAAAATAATAATACACCATGCTATAGGGCAGGCTATGCCTAATATAAAATAACAAATAACTTACATAAAGTTTAAATAGGTATACAAAACTGGAAATAAGTAAACGTATAATATATAACCAAATAAATAAGAAACATAGAACGTTTATTAGCAAAACGAATAAGAAAGCTTGGAGGCACGGCATACACCTTGATGTCAAATAAAATAAATAAATGACACAAAGTTTAAATAAAGTAAAAATCAGCAAACACTGTGGAACCAATTAAATAAGAAACGAATGTTTAAAAAAACTTCCAAAATCACCTTAGATAAACGGCAAAAGTCAACAGGCTTTTCAAAATCCAAAATATTGCCAAACAGGCGCTTTTGCATCTTGTTTCGAAACTAAATCATCCGCGATCATCTTGTCCGTCTCCCCTCACTCTTCTTGTCAGTCAGCTCGGGCAAGTGACGTAACCGGTGTTGCGGCTTAACAACGGTATCACCGTCAGCACCGTCTATCGCGGCAAGCCTAGTTCCTGGAGTGACCCAGATAAATTAAATGGACCGTACCACCTCTGTCCTCGAGCCTCTCATCCCGTCTCTCGCATCTCTCTTCACGGTCACCATAGCGATCTCCATAGCGCTCCCCGCTGCCCCGTCTGTCGTCCCGTCGGTCATCATAGTCACGCCGAAAGCCACTTCCAAATGGTCGACGACCCCCACTGCGAGAATCATAACCTGAAATAAGGTTAGGTAACACTAGGTTAAGAAAGATCACGAATGTAAACAGTATAGTATAGTATATATTTATTTAATGCCATGTCAGCATCAAAGGCTATTTTCATGGCAAAAACAATAAAAAAAAAATACAAGTATAACAAATACAATAAAAACCAGCAAACAAACAAACACAAGTTTCACGAATGTAAACAAACTAATGGCTGTTTTTGTTTTAAATGATCAATGCAATTCCATTTCTAAGGAGCAAGGCCCTTTTCTGTTGTAAATGGATTACAGAGCTGAATTTTATTATTGTAATTTTGACACAGTTGTTCTGTTCTTCTAAGATAATTTCATAGTTTTCATAAAAACAAGTCCACATGTCTGATTAAATGAATTAATCCAAGCCAACTCTCCGTTATTCCAAGAGTATCTTTTTGAACCAAGGGGAATAATAATGTACTTTTATTAATATTAAAAATAAAGTGATGGCAAAAAATATATATAATAAATAAATAATATATATATAATTATATAAATAAATGCTAATTTTACAAAATATTTACTTAGCACTTATTCAAATAAATTATTCATTAATTTGAGGTCAGTAGGATTTTGTTTTCTTTCTATTCATCAAAGAATTCTGAAAATTCACAGTGTATTACAATTTCCACAAAAATATTAGTCAGCACAACTGTTTACAAAAATGGTGATAAAAATGTTTCTTAAGCAGCAAATAGGCATATTAAAATTATTTCTGAAGGACCATGTGACACTGAAGACTGGAGTAATGATGCTGAAAATTCAGCTTTGCATCACAGGAATAAATTACATTTTAAAATATATTTAAATAGAATCCAGTTATTTTAAATTGTAATAATTTTTCACAATACCAGTGTTTTGCTGCATATTTGATTAAATAAATGAAGTCTATGTGAACATGAGATGAACAAAAGTGTGTATCTAAAAAATAAAACATTCATTATCCATTCTCAAGATTGCTGGTTGAATTTGGAACTGACACTAAAAAATACCCAAACACTACTGCTGGCATATTTCTGCAAGTCAAAGTTATTTGTCAGATTTGTGCAGAATCATAATGTATGAAGGCGTTATATACCTCTGTCATAGTCTCTGCGCTCTCTGTCATCATAACGTTCCCGGTATCTGTCTCTTCCTCCATCATTGTCCCACCTCTGGCCATCACGGTAACGGTCTGATTCATAACGATCTCGGGATCCTGTGGATTGTAAAAAAAAAAAACTTAAATCACACAATTTTCTGTTGCAACATCTGGAATATAAAATATTTTATTTCTAAAATACTAACGTATTTTATTTTACTCCCTCTTCAGTGCTGACCAATAACTAATTAACTAACTAATTAACTAATAACTAATTAATTGACATATTATATTGTATGTCAAATACAATATAATAATCTCACAATAGATATGTTTAGTAGTGTGTCATGAGGCTTACTACTTTAACAAGACAAGAAGTTTTTTTTTGTTTTTGTCAAACTACAGTTTCAAAGTAGTTTCCTCCTATACTCTTTTTCCAACAAATATTTGTCAAATGAAATAATTGCTTACGCTCTGCAAATGCGTCGTCCCTGCGTGGACCGTCATCAGAGTCAGATTTAGGCCTTGCACGCCAGTCAGAATCGGTCTTGTCTGGGCCCATGTCTCGCTCACTACGGTTGCGATCCCACCCGGATACAGAGCGCTCGTCTCTCTCTAAACAGGAAAAATTAAAAATGATTGTGAATATGGAAATATATATTTTTTGCTCCAATAATACAGATTTACAACTGCATTATGCTACATATGAACAGATCGGTTTCTCAGAACCACACCTTTCTCATTGGACTGGTCAGCGATGTCTACACGGATCCTACGGTTTCCAAGGTTCTAGAAAGAGAGGAAGAAGAAGGGTTCATTACAGAGCTGAGAGCTTGTGTCTTCATTTTGGACATGTGTAACAGATAACTAGCGCCACCATGTGGCAAAAATAAAACTACCAACAACACCAACAGTGAGTTCTATAATTCAGAAGCACACAGGTCTGTATCTGTTACTGACAGACATACAGACAACAACAAGGTGAATTTCAACATGAATTTTAACAATTTTAACACCAATACTACTGATGGGATCTCACCTCTTCATTGAGACTGAGTGCACGCAACAGAGAATCCACGTCATCAAACTCTGCGTACCCGAAGCCTTTCAGCCGTTCTGGGTTACTGGGCTCCCTTGGGAGGCGAACTGCACTGATCTGTATGAATAAAAGAGATATAATTACAGTTGTTAATATTTCTCATGCTTTTGGGGAAGTCGTGGCCTAATGGTTAGAGAGTCGGACTCGTAACCCAACGCACTTTGGATGGGATAAATGCGGAGCACTAATTCCGAGTATGGGTCACCATACTTGGCCACATGTCACTTCACTTCACTTTACGCTATGGGCTAGAAAACGGCGCTACAGTTCTTCCTGTTCCGTTGGCAGTGTTATTTAATGTGGCATTGTGTCTGTCTGTTTTTCCAGCATCTGGCGGTATACCTTGCATTTTTTAAATGGAGTGTAAAGTTAAAACTAATTTAAAAATGGTAAATGAATCAAATTAAAGTTGTGTCTCAAGGCCCCTGCATTCTGATCAATTGCATTACATCAGTTCTGCACCATCTAGCTATTTTGGAACAGAATACAACTTTGCAGAGGAATCTGGTTTTTAGGGTTTATGCTGATTTAAACAGTCATTTTCCTTAATTGATCGGCAGAACATTGGATGGATAGATAGATAGATAGATAGATAATAAAACAGTAATATTGTGCAATATTATTACAATTTTAAATAACTATTTGGTTACACTTTATTTTAAGGTGTCCTTGCTACAGTGTAATTATACATTTAAGTACAGAGTAATATTAATTAACGTAACTAATGTACTTACCATATGGTTAGGATTAGGGTTTGGCTTAGGGTTACTTGCATGTAATTATGCATAATTTATTGTCGTTATAATAGTAAGTATATATAAAGTGTGCAACAAGGACATCTTAAAATAAAGTGTTGCCAAATATTTTTTAGTGCTGTGTTCAAAAGATCAATACGACGATGTATCGTCACAGAGATTTGACGATACGAGTTGGAGATGTGTATTTAAAAGTTGGCATGCATCTTATTGCAGTGCATGGCAATGCAACGGGCGACAATTAAAAATTCAGACAATAATAACCACCCTCCATCATGCTGCTGATTTGTAAAAAAAAAAAAAAAAAGCATAATATATAGGCTACAGCAAGGTTTAATCTGGCCGCAGAGGAACACAACCGGGGTTGGCTGATATAAAGAGACGAAATCCCCGAAACAGATCTTCACACTTACGCAATACGGAGTTATCTGCTAAGTGTGCTACTTATCTTTGTCAACCTGGCAACCATGTGCACGTGCTCTCTCTCCACTGTGGATAAACACACTTACTTTCTTAAAACACTGGTAAGCTTGCCGTTTAGCGATCTCCACTTCAATAATCTATTCTCAGAAAATTGTAATTCATCGAGTGTTCATTTATGAGAGAGAGAGAGAGAGAGAGGGGCTGTGTATGTATGAATTACCACCGCTTTGAAGCAGTGTTTAATAAACAGCTGTTTTTCTAAATTCTGCTGAGGTGAAATTCAGTGCAGTCCTGTATCCTGATACGTATCGTGGCCTCTGTATCCTGATACGTATCGTATCGTGACTTTACTGGTGATACACAGCCCTACTATTTTTATTTGAATATTTCTTAAAATGTAATTTATTCCTGTGATAGCAAAGCTGAATTTTTAGTAGTCACTACTCTATGCCATTATGAATGCCATTATGAATGTTTTTACTGTAACTTTTAATCAATTTAAAGGAACACTCCACTATTTTTGAAAATAGGCTCATTTT